GGTTATGCACTGAACACAGCATAATAAAAAAGAGGCATGTACCCATCTGGAATCGGACAGCCGTTGTAACATGAGCCTTAGTGAAGTGGCAGCTGTCTGTGTGCTAGAAAAGTATATTTATCCCAACATACCACATTTAAATCCCAAACAACTTCGTTGAAAAGCTCTGAGACAAGTCCATGCTTTGTCTCCAAGATTACCTTCAGAAAGGGAGAGATGTATACATTCTAAATTTTGGAAGAGCAGTGCTGCATAGCACCACAAAGCAGTACAAAGGAGATTTTGAAAATATATGTGTTCTGGTATCATCAAAACATGACCATGGTGTAAGTTTCTAGAAATTTTGTCACTTTTAGAGGGAGGTAGTGGTGCATTTGGACGTTGTCAGGTGAGAACACCTCTACAATATATAAACAGAAGACCTAGAGAATGCTTCATTATAATTTTCAAGAAATTTGACTTCTATTTACAAATGGATTCACATGATTTTTAAAAAATAGGTCCAGCAGTTAATTTCTGCTTTATAGTGAAGAATACATAGTCTGCATAATTACCAAAATTTATTCAAAATAATTAGACCGCAACTGAAAAATCAGGAGAGAAGTAAACCAAAACTGATGTAGAAGAAACACTATCAACATTGCTTTTGCTTCAACTTTGTTATACCTAATAAAGGTCAAGTGTGTTTACTAGAAATATTCTATACATGAGAATAATCTGCTAAAACATGCACACATAAATTATGATGGTGTGTATTTTTCATTGCTTGCTTTATGATGTATTTAAATAACAAATACAGGAAAACAGATTTTTATGTGGCTTCCAAGCCTTGTACTAAGTATGTTCCATGATGATTTGGGTCAGAATCCAAGCCAGCCTCCTTCAAGAGAAATGGAGACATGCTTACCCATCCCACTATGAATTGAACTTAATCTGAAGACTTTGGCCACTGTCTCTAAATCAGTAGAGATGCTACATGGGCAGTGTGCTTTCTTCTATGGGAGAAATATAGAAGTACAGTGGTTATTAATTTATATTTTTTTAGCCAATCAGAGGCTCTTAAAAAACAAAGCTGGTAAAATACGCGTAAAAGAGCCATAAGGAAACATTGAAAAAGATCATGTGCCACATGCTCTGACTGTAGTAAGTAACAAATCCAAACTGTGCAATCATAGTCTTCATTGATGGAAAAAAAACAGTTGGGGGGAGTGTACATTACCTGAGTGTAATCACAGCAGGCACTGCTGTTGATGTTACGTAGCAATATTCTATGAAAGCATGTAAAGAAGGACAGTCCTTGGTACCCAGACTGTTGGAGAGTTTAAAAATCAGCCTTGAGTTTTATGTGATTCAGTCAGTTTTGGTTTAAAAGAGTAACTTAATTTGACTGCAGCCAAGAAGGAGTTTGGACATTTCTTGCTGTTCATTCGTTTTATAAAATCAGCCAGCTGGAAAAACTGCTTTTCATGGTTTCCGGTAAAGGAAAAACTGAGTTAAAGAATTATCATGTCAGAATTTCCTGTAGGATAAATGAAAATGAAATAAAAGTTCCTAAATGATTTGATTATTAACTCTGAGATTTACAAACTTCCTGGTAACTGCTGCAGTGCAGGAAGTGATCAAGCCAGCAGCGATTGTTGCATGGTTTTTGGTGAAAGCAAATTGCCCTTGTGGAAATTATGTGACCAGTCCACTTTGGCATGGGGGAGGTTGCTGGGCAAGGGTTTTTTGCTCTCATTCATAAATATTTTCATCATGTCATCCATAAAATAAAAAAACAATTCTTCTATAGAAAGCCTTTCCAAATTGAGGTGCCAGGGCTGAGTTGTCTCAGTTCCAGATGCTTTGGCAGAATTGTAGTTCCCTGAGAGCTGGAACTCCTGTGTACCTGTGGAAGCAGATGAAAGAATAGGAATAAAAATAAGATACTGCACTACTTCTGCTGCTACATGCCTGAAAAAAAAATCATCAAAGTTATTATAATTATGACTGTTATTAGATATCATGTCTGGTTTCTGCATATTTAAATTCTGAGAGAGGTGAAACTTAGGCACTTAGAGATCCCAGGGGAATAATTGCAGAAATGATGACATATTCCACTTTTTGAACAAATTTCAATACCAAAGCTGCATTCTGCACAGCTTACATTTCTTCTTAATTATACTTGGATGCAGGATAGATAGTAATTTTCTGTCTTACAAATGCATGTAGCCAATTACTCTTGTAGATCATGAATACGCAATGGCCTAACTCATTAAATGGAATTTTCCTTCTCTGTTGTTATGGCAAAAGAGTCTGCAAATAGCTGAGTATTGTATCTCTCTGGGAGATACAATCTGTAGCCTTGGCCAAGGCTACAGATCCATAACTTCAGCAAGTGGACAATTACTGGGTTTACTTTTCATTCTTCACAGTGTGCCATGCTAGTCTTGTGTTTGTGTGTGTGTCTGTCTGTGTGCATGTACTGTAAATTGGTGTAGGCTGTTTCGCTCCTCTGAACTTCTGGTCCTCAACTTAAATGCCACTGTTCTGACGCTATGTGATGAATTTAGTCTTCCTGATTTCTTCCCATTCCCAAGAAATTCTGAGCCCAGAATCTCTCCCTGTGGCCCACTGAGACATGCAGACCTGACCTCCTTTGGCTCCTGGAAGCAAAGCTGAGAAAAACTGGCAACATGTCTCTGAAGAAACCACAGCTTATATCAAATGATCTAACACAGGTGTTCTTTTCTTCTTCCCTCTGATTTTTTTTTCCCCTGCATAATATGCTTACCACTCTGTCATCTCAGAGTATGAAGATAACACATGTAGCCTAGTCTGCCTCACAGGCAGGGTTCATAGCCACAATGAAGGCAGACTGTTATGACCAGAGAGATCCAGGGAACCACAAGACAACTGAGAAATGAGTTACAGACCCAATATTTCTCTAAGCCAGTTTTGCTAAGTTTTGGTGTCAATAAATAATAAACAGGATGTGAGGAGAAGACTTGGTGATTAGCCTTCATCCTTTTCAGTGGTAGCATGTTTGCCCAAGGGTGAATGTTGCTTATCTAACACTCTGTCCTCTTTTTCATAATATTGCAGGACACCTGAGACTTGAGCATTTCAGCTACAGCAAATGTTGAGTTGTGATTTTTAAAAGCTGTGGTCTAAATATTATAGAAATAACGAAACCTTTCCATTTAGGGGAAATGTTTTCTGTAATCTTATTACTGGAGTAGTTATCTCGAGTGCCTTATTGGCATATTTTGCAAAACTCCACTGGGGATTTCAATTTAATGTCTGTTTTCTTGAAAACAATAATAAAAAGAACAGCATGCTGTTGGTTACACTGGATTTTTACTAAAATTTGAGTATGTTTTATCGGTTGTTATTTGTAGTTGCAGACTCCCTGGAGAATAGAAATTCTAAATGTGTTATAAACAAGTCTTAAACACCTCTTAAAAGCATGCAAAAACATACGTATTTTCTACTACTAAGATTCTGTCACTGGGTCTGGAACTCGGGGATTTGGTCCCTTCTGCTGTGTACCCACAACTTGTGATTCTGGGGAGTGAAGTCTATCTGCCTTTGGGGAAATGAGCTGGGTGCTTGCTGTTTCTCTTGCTTTCCAGGATTTACTTTGGGAATGTTCCAGATAAATGCAGGAGGAAGGGAAGGCAAGAGTTATTCTGTGAAATCTTTCTTTTCAGCAAGAGGAGAATTATATCTGTATCTCGTGTGTATACATGTGTGTGTACATATATATAGTGTAATAGAGATGTGACATTGCTGTTCCTATTTCTTTAAGTTCTATTTTCTGCAAATAACTGTAAGAGAAAATCCTGAACTTATCTTTTACTGCTTGTACCTTAAAGAATCAAACCATTATTATCCTCTCTGAATCTTGCAGAATTCACATGGAACTTATGATGGAGATCTTATAACTTGTGTGTAGCAGCTGCCACTAGGATATGGTGGGAATCTTTCAGGGAGAGGGGAGGGGAATGTAACTTTGCTCATATTAAAACTGTGGAGTAAAATGTGAAACCTTTTGAGTCTCAGAATAGTAATAAAAGCAGTGAGCAAATTTAGCTTGCTAGACAGTTGTAATTTGCAGAATGTATTTGTCAAATAGTTTGGAAATAATCTCAAGCACATTTAGATGGGAAAAGTAGAGATGGGCTTAAACTAAAAATGTGAGCTAAATGTCCGTCCAGGTTTGCAGAACATAAGTTATACACTTCATCATAAACTCAGTAATGGACAAGACCAGAGGGAGATTTTGAACTTTGGGGAAAGTCAGATTTTGTTCCATGTCTGTTTGGTCCCTAAATACAACTGATTTGTCTTGGGGTCTTCAATTTAATTTAAAAATTGCTGCTGCCTTTGAATGGTGTTAGTGCATTTGGAAATTGAGAAGTATAATTGAAACACAGGTCTTTCCAGACCGGTGTTTATTTTGCCTTTAGTATGTTGGGTCTGTGAGTTGTTAAAAACTCTTCTTCTTGAGTCTTTGTAATATGCAGTGTTGGCTCCACTGCCATGGAAATCAGTGTGATCTCATGAGTACTGCGAAATGAGATCACCAAGAGGGAATGAGGAGATGCCCCAGCATTGTAAATAACAAGTGTGACTTCTAAAGAAAAGACACCCTTTTGGTGATTGAGTGCAGATTTTTTTCATTAGTTGGATGAAAATGTAATGGACTTTGTTCACATCTGACATTTTTATGTGCCATCATGTTAATAAATAAAAATCAATTTATATTTTAGAACTGGATTTTCGTGTTAGGCCCCTCTTTTTTTTCATTACAGCCCCTCAGTTCTACCCCTTGATTCTTTTAACCCTGTGAGTTTTAGACTCCTGTAAGTAGGGCTTTCTCTAATCCACTTTCTTGCTGATACAGAGTTTCCTCAGAGAATTTGATTATTTCTGCGAAGGGCATTTGTTTGTAGCTGAAGTTCTCAGTATAATTCATTGGTTTACTTTCTGAATCGTCTCTCATCTTCTATTTCCAGATTGGTGAGAGGCAGAGAGTTCTGGTAACAGAAGAATCCTTTGACTCCAATTACTACGTTGCTCACAATCCTTTCTATGAGCAGGTACAGTTAAATAAACTAAATAACATATTTTTGTTTTATCTTTGCTTCCTGATAATCTCAGCAACACAGTGTGTCAGGATTAAAAAAAAAATCTAATAAAGAAATAAGAAGCATTTTCCAGGAAACATATGACCATCAAGACTTTTTTATGAGATACTTTGTTTTATTATTGTGTTGTAAATATGATTTACCTGAAATTATGTTAAGAAATATACAGTGGATGTTTGAGTGTACAGCATGGTTTAAGAAGCTGTTAATTATTGCAGTAATTTTAATTTCAATGTCCCCAAAGCTGAATAATTTGATTTCTGAATAGTTGAGTCATGACAATTTGAATACATCTTTCTGAAAAGTGTTTCAGGCAATGCAATTTGAAAAAAAAAATCCTAACAGTAGAAGGGTCGGAAACTTCTTTAGATTAACACTTCAACATGATATATTATGTTTCATAGCATCATACAATGGTTTGGGCTGGAAGGGGTCCTGCTGGCCACCCCTCTTTGGATGCAGCCCAGGATACAATTGGCTTTCTGGTCTGCAAGTGCACATTTCTGGCTCATGTCCAGCCCCTCATCCACCAGCACTCCCAAGTCCTTCTCAGCAGGAAAGTTCTCACTCTCCATGAGTTCTTCTCCCAGGCTGTAGTTATGTCTGGGATTGCCCCAACCCAGCTGCAGCACCTAGCACTTGGACTTGTTGAACTTCATTATGTTTTTGTGGGTTCACATTTCAGGCTTGTGTGGGTGCCCCTAAATGGCATACATTTCTTCTAGTTTTTGTCATTTCCTGCTGTGTACTTCCTGTGGATAAATTCTTGCCACACAAGAACATTATCTTTGAGCTGGGAAGGAAGCACACACATCAATTTCACAAAAGTGTTATTTTTGCTCAAAAACTGATGACTTGCTTAAGACCAATAAAATTGGCTTTCCTGAATCATCATTATTTTATTCTCCATTTTCTTGCACTAAGCTGTCTACAATTTGCTTTTGCCACCATTAGGTATTCCATTTTCTGAACCTGGAGGGATTAAGATGATATGGCTGTGCTTTCTTCTGGTTTTGGGTTATGTTACAGAATTTATTTATTTGTTTTTCCTTAGTAGTAAGTGACATTGCTCTTCTTGAAATATCTGTTTCTGGCAGATATCTGGGTCACTAATTTTCTTTCTTTCTTTCTTTCTTTTTTTTTATACATCTCCTTTTTTTTACATATCCAACTTCTATCTAAGTCTTATGTATTGATGCTCCTTGATTTTGTTGCATATCAGTCAGAGTTGAGCAACATGATCTTCCACATAAAGATTAAAAAGAAATGTCTTGGGACTTTTTTGTTTAATCCTTTTTTTATGGAAGCTTTATTAATTAAATGAAAAGCAATATGTACAGGAAACAAAGTGTTGATCTTTTGTGTTGTGTTTGTACAGCACCTAATACAGCTTCTGATTGGGACTGGTAAAGAATTCACAAAGTACAAATAGTCACGTAGGGACTCATTTTAAATTCTATTAGGGAAGAAATGCTTTCCATTAAGAAAATGCAATCTTTTCTCTAAAATCTTATGTGTGGCATGTTTCATAAGGATGGTATCCTACTGCTTACCCAGGTCAGCTCAAGAACACATGCTAGTAACTAAGATTAATAGCAGTAAATTGAATGATAGTAAATTGAAAACCACCCTAAAGTCTAAATATCATATTATATATTATTTAAGCTGAAGCTCAGAATCCTATTGTAGTATTCTGTTAACTCAAATAGTTATCAAATGTATTCTGTCTTCACTGAGCTTGTCTGTACTAAAAGAATTTGCTCTTAAACCTGCATCAATACTGCTGCACAGACAGACTTAGTGAGGTAGCTGCAGCTGATATTTGTGAAGGCTTAGGTGATGCAGTTTACATTGAACAGAGTAGTCTAAAGTGACCAAAGAGTGTTTTGCCAGATCCACAGCCAAAGTGAGAGTTTCTGCTGGTTTAACTTCATTTCTTAGAAATACTGTTGAGGGTTTTTTCTTAACAAATACTACAAAAAATATCTGAATGTACACCAAGCCTGGATGCTTGGTTGTTTACAGTATCTCCCAGTTATTTTCACTTAACCTGTTTCTTTTTCTGAAGTTTGGTGTATATTTAGTTACTTCCCTTTTTCATGAGGAGATGGAAGATTTACAGAGGTCATGAACCCAGTGTATACTCAGCTACCTAGTTTCCCTTTGATTTAAATTTGCCCAAAATTAATTACTTGGGAAGAAGTGTTATCCAGTCACGTTGTAACACTTTCTGAGCATTACGATCCTGACTTTGTGTATGCTGAGTCTCTGCTTTTCTTGGAAGATGCTTAGGAAGCAGGATCCTAGGATCTCAAAGTGCTTACAGTCATGAACACCTTGAGCCTTTAGGGAAGAAGGGAAACCACTGCTGGTGATTTCCTCCAAGTAGGACAATGAACAGTTGTGATAGGTGAAAATGGAGAGGCAGTTTTTGGCAAAAAAATGCCTCCAAATGTGGCTGGCACAGATTTTTTTTCTCTCTGAAAGTCCTCTGCACATGTAGTCCTAAAAATTAAGCCATTTTAAAGCATTTCAATTTCACCATCAAAGAATCAAGATAAAAAGATAAGATCTTTTCCTTTGAAAAGCTGTCCTCAGCCCTGGTGAGGCCACACCTGGAGTGCTGTGTCCAGTAATGAGCTCCTCAGGACAAGGGAGACACAGGGCTACTGGAACGGGTCCAGTGGAGGACAGCGAAGATGATCAGGGGACTGGAGCACCTCTCTCATGAGGACAGGCTGAGGAAGCTGGGCCTGTTCAGCCTCAAGGAGAGGCAGCTGAGAGGGGATCTCATCAATGTCCCTAAGCATCTGAAGGGAGGGTGTCAGAGGATATTTCCCGGCTATTCCTTGGTGGTACCAAGCTGTAGGACAAGAGGCAATGGGCAGTAACTGATGCACAGGAAATTCCCCCTGAACATGAGGAAGAGCTTCTTTGCTGTGTGGGTCACCATGAACTGGGACAGATTGCCCAGAGAGGATATGGAATCTCCCTCACTGGAGAAATTCCAGAACTGTCTGGGTGCAATCCTGTGCCATGTGCTCTACAATAACCCTGCTTGAACAGGGAGATTGGATCAGATGACCCCTCTGAGGTCCCTTCCAACCTGACTCATCCTGGGATTCTATGTGTGGATAAGCTTCAAGTAAATGTTATTTAATAAGTCCCCATGATTCAATTTTTAATTGTAAACAGTGTAAAAAAATGTAATTTCATCAGGAAATTACTCGACTTTTCTTTTTCAGCTGCTTACCTATTTTAGAGACATTTTAAGTCCATTAATTCTTCCGTTCCGAAAAATGTTGCTCCCTTATTTTGGGCTCTTTCTTTTTTTAAATGCATGACCTAGCAACATCTGGTTTGTGCTTTTTTTGTGAAGTGGGACTGTCTGATATCATGGTTGTGCAAATTCAGAAAAGAGTGGCATAGTTGCTGACCCAAAAACAGTCATCTGTTTTTACAGGCATTCATTGTCAATCATGCATCTCAGCTGCAAAGGATCTGCACAATCAAAATAAAGGATTGTGCAAAGAGAGAAAAGGGTATACTTTCTGTCCTGAAGCCTTTACAGACTTAGAATTTATTTTTTTTTAAGTATCATGAGACAAAGATGAAAATGGAAAGCTTTACAGCAGTCTGTTACAATTGTGTAGTACAAATGTCCTTGGGAACTGTTTGGGTCTGGATTCAAAAGCTGCAATTCAGGCCCAATTTTCTCATCAATCAAAAAACATGACTTTAAGAATCAGTTGGAGTTAAAAAGAGCTGAGCTAACACTGCAAAGCTCTTGTAGAATGCAGGTTGGAGATCTTACTGGTCAAGTGTGCCAGGTGCTGTCGTGTATGCTGGTGACTAAAATGTTTAAGTTCTAGGATTTTCTCTGATGTTTATCAAAAATCTGTTTTCTGAATGGGTACTAGAGACTCTAAGGTTCCTTGTGATATTTAGTAACAATGTCTTTATTTTATTTGAAAGGTTCTTGTGCCAAAGGATCCTCTGTTAATGGGTAAGATGGTAGAAGTGAATATTTATGAAGCTGGGAAACATTTTATGAAGGGGCAGCCAGTATCAGATGCCAGAGTTCATACTGCATCCATCAGCAGACCATTAGCAAAAGGAGAAGTTTCTGGTTTAACAGAGGTGAGTAAAAGACATTTTCTGCTTTACTACACTGGCAAATCCACAGCTGTTCAAGCAAAATGATTCCATGCTATGTATCTGTTATCATTTTATAGTTCCCATTTATATATGCATGAAGCTTTAATCTTTTCTGACAGATTGAAATCTGAATTCAAAATATGTTTTTGCTGATGCTTGTAGCTTTACTTTGCTGGCTATAAAGGCAATAATACACTTGTTTCTTGTTTCTAGATGCAAGATGAGGAAAGAACTTACTAGAATTGAAAAGATTAAACACCAGTAATTATATAATTCAATATATTTCAGTTTAGTAGAAGGATGAATCAGTTTAATTTTTTTTACAAAGCTGTTTTTAAAAAAATATGTATTGATTACATATCTGTTAAAACAGGTCTAAACACTATTCAGAGATCCAAAATTAATTGATGGGCAGAGGTGCAGAATACTTACAGTATATTTTGGAAAAAGGTCAACATCTGATTTAGTCATGTAAAAAAAATGAAACTCTTTTAAAAAGAGATCTGATTCTTATTTTACAGCTCAGTAGATATGGCTGTTAGCCAAGTCTTCTCATACATTTCATGGAGCTCTAGTTGTAAAAACTGATGGAGTGTGAAATGAAAATGTGTATCACATTTCTAAGCATCATTTGATGTCCTTTCTCCAGCACTGTTGTTAGGATCTGCAACAAATATGTAGCACATGGGAGAAGGATAATTGGCACTTTATCAGCCACCTTACTGCTTTTACAGTAAATTGCTGATAAGTATTAAAGTATATACATGTCCTTGTTTATGTTCTAAGTAGTCACATTTCAAATACATCATCAAGGCATACCTGAAGTGACCAGTGTTAAGCTAAGCAACTTGGTCTCTTGAATAAGCCTGGCTGTGGAAACACAGCAGCAATAATGCACTCCCTGTAATGCACCTACTGTAATGTGTTCAGCAGATCATGACACTTAGGCACAAACACATTACTAAGCTCTCCATTAATATTGTCTGTGTGTATGTGTATATTGGCCTGATAAGGGCCTGTAAGAGATAAAAAACAGCCAAAACCTTCAAATTGTCTGGTTGGACTATGTGGCTATTTAAACACAGCTGATTTTTTCATCAGAATGTGTTTTTTTTTAAATAATCGGCTGGAACAGAACCAAGACTGTCATTAAACTGAGTATGTGCTGCCAGAAGCTTGTAGATGGGGACAAGCAAGTAGACTCTTGACTGATTTTTTAAATGTTAAAACAAGAGGTAAAATTATTAAAATCAAGGATACTGATAATTTCCACAGGGACTCATTGAGATATATAGATCTTGTCCTGCTCTTTGGATAGGCACAAACAAGTACCAGGAATCCCCCCATAAATGGCTGCAGCAAGCAAATGATAAGGCAAATTGCTTTTCATAACTTTTGTGGTTACCAGTGCTCCTTCAAGGGAGATTTAATATATGATTGTTGTATGGAAATGTTGGGAACTTTTGTTTAATGGAAAAAAAAATAGCATCTCGGTATTTCAGCAAATAGAATAGCTTTGGTACATAGAAGGTGCAACTGAAAGCTTTTAATCACACTTGGCCAATGTATAATATATAGAACATGAACTGAAATTCTTAGTGGGAAGGTCATCCTGAAAAGTCATACATATAAATAGAAACTCGGGGACTTTCTTTAGGTTTCCATTAAAAAAAAAAAAAAAAAGCCAGTTTGCTACAAAAGTTACCTTGGATTTCTGGCTAGCTGCAAGATGCAATTTGGGTTGCTCTGTTTGCATGGACTGATGGGAAACACTTCCTGCTGCATGTGCTCAAGACACATAATTCCAATCAAAGATGCTTTGAGCAAGATAAAAGGGGCTCATAGGAGGGTCATGTGAGCCTTTTGTAGCTTGTTATGTGCACGGATGGCAGGTTGGGGAAAGATGAAGGAGGCAACTCAGAACTGATGAATTCAGATTTCCCAAAAGTAGCAAAATATCTTGGATCTTTAACAAGATCCCAAGTGTCTCCACTAGGTTTTCTGCAGCTTGCAGAACTAAAATCTTGGATACATTTTCCACTGTGCACACATATGAGCAAGAATTAAGGTCTGCTCATTATTAATGGTGTTTTCGTTAACCTACATAGAACACAATAAAAGGTGTTTCAAAATCCTTCATAGCTGTACTTCTCTCTATATGAGGAATGCTCACAGAAAGAGAGAAAGCTTTTGAAGCTGTAGTTTTTAAGGAAATTAATCAATTGAGAGCACCATCATGTGAGGATGTCAAAGCAAGTCATAAACTCATCCTAAGCAAGAAGGCACTTCTAGAGATGCTGTGATAAGAAGTACCTCCAAAGAATCAGAGCTTATCTGCAGTTATGTGCTCTCTTTCTCATCTGATACATTACCCTCAGTGATTTTTTTCTGACAAATTCAGAGTGAGCACCACAAGCAACATGTGTGTCTGATGAAACAGTTGTAGACCTTTTTTACCTTTCTGGCTGCATGGCTCTGGCAGCAAATTGGTCCAAAGAAATAAAAGTAGGTTGCCAATTGGAATCAACAGATGTGACTGAAAAAGAGGAAATGCAAAATGCAGAAACACAAAGGACAATTTAGAGTATCCATACAATATTCACACATTGTATGTCTGTGACAAGTAAGGAGGGAAATAGATATAGAATTAATTCAGAGTATTTCTAGCATTTCATGCTTTTTCAGTGCATGTAGAACACAGCTAATACGTATATCCATTAATGTACTAATGATCTAGAATATCTTACAGTTATTGTACTCTTTAAGGAAAAAACTGTAACAAAGTACAGATGGTGGAAAGTCTTGGCATTCCATAATGTTAGGCTCTGTGGCAGAATTTGGGATGGGAAGGACAAAAGAGTCTTGGAGTTAGCAGCTCGGGTTAAAAAGCTGTCAAACCAATCAGACTTAGTGATTGTTATGGACATACTAAGTAGTAAAGTGCACAAGTATTTGCCAGGATTTTTTTTTAGCTTCAGCATTAATTTTCTTATAAAAGCCACTCAAAAAGGAGTGATGTCTCCAAGTGGCACAATTTTCACGATGGCTATTTGGGAGGGCAAACACATTTGGAAATTTCAGTTGACACAGGTCTACTGTAGACTTACTTGGGTTTAAAATGGAGAGTTGCTGATTCAGTAAGAGAACCATGTTTAGAAGGCATACATTGCAGAGGATATATAGGTGAAAGTTGAAGACAATAAAGAATGAACATGTATAATGGCATTTTTGAATTTGGTCCTAGTAAATCTAAGATAAGATGTATGTGAACTGGACATTAAAAAGTAGTGACAGTAAACTTAAAATGAACATTCAGACAAAACAAATCTGTCACGAGTTGCTAACTGCAATTACAAATATCAGTGAATAAGGATTCAAAGCTCTGATAAAGATTTAGTTCTGTTAAGTTTCACAACAACAAAAAGAAGATATAAATGCTGTAGATGTTACATCCTTTCATTGAGGTAGGCTTGAAGCTGACAAAGGACTAAGAGTGCACTTCAGCATTTTGAGATTCAGAAAGCCATTTTGCATGTTTTCTATGTTCTTAAGCACTCTGGTAAACTTGTCTTTTAGGGTTTGGAGGTAGGTTTGCAATGCACGTAGTGTTGAGTATATTATCTTTGGATAATATTTTTGAAAAGTCAGCAGTGTGTGTCAACAGTCTGAATATAATCTAATTTAGAAAAAAACCCCAATTTTAATATCTGTATTCATTTTATTTGGCCACATTTAGGGATCTTGACTGTTTCTCAGCAGCATAAAGTACCTAATAAATGTATCCTGTTTACAGACAAATGTTTGCCCAAAACTAATCATTGAAAAAAGTAAGAATCTGCAAGAATATGATCTCTTGTTAGAACCAGAAATAGAGTATGTTATGCTTCTGTACTCCAAAAATAATTCTGGTTGTTTACATATGTTCTGTGACTAGAGGAAAAAAATACTGCAAGATGAGAAATATATGAAGAAAAGACCAAAGGGCTGAGGGATAAAAATAAAAGGCTGGCTACCTGCCAGAGTTGCAATGCATTGCCAGAATCAAAGCCCCATAAGTCTGAGGGCCTTTGGTGGGAAGTTTTAATTAGATGGAAAATTAAGGCAAGAGAAAAAAATAATTTTAACAGGATGTTTAATCCCCAGTCATAATTATTTTATGTTCATAGTTCATGTTTCTGTAATTCCTCTATGACTGACTTTCTTTTCAAACAAATACAGGCACATCTTTCAGTTTTCTGTTTTCCATTGGTTTCTGTGATGATATTCTCCATGCCTAACACTTCCTCTGTGAATGGCATCTGCTGGGAGCCACCATTTCCAATGTCTCCTTTTGTGAGACTGGGATCTTGGTGCACATCTCTGTGCTCCCAGGCCTTGGAAATACCCACAGCTGGCCTGTTAAGTTAATAGCTGTTCAAGTCATTGGGCTCTTTGGAGGAAATGAGGAGTGAGCCACTGATTTTCAGTTAGCAGCCAATTATTTGGTCATTCTGCTTGTTCCTGTTTTCTCTCCTGTCCTCCCTGCATTTTAGCTGCAGTCGGTTATTGTGGCATTGTGCTTCAGGATACTAATGAAGAAGATTTATGTTGCTGGTCTTACAGATAGCCACAAATATTTTCTAGTTACATGAGCAAAAACATCACCCAGCCTTTTTTTATGATGTTAAGAAACAGGAAAGATGCATATATCAAACACTTCTTTATAGCCTGCCAGAAAGAAAATTCAACAAAGCATAGCTTAAAGGAAACTCTCTGATCTCAGGTAGAAAGGGTGCTTCACTTGTAGGCAAAATAAAATGGAGAAAGGGGAAGAAAATGTCTTCTGCTGGAACAGAAATGAAAGAAATCATGTCAGAATTAAGATCTCTCTATTGGAAACTTCCTTCAAGGACTTGGAAGGAAATGTGGAAGATGTGTGTTAATTAATAAGCATAGTTTTTACATGTGCTGGAGTTTCAAAGTGGTGGAAATTTTTGTTTCTG